CATTTTTGACCCCCACCAGGGCCTCGAAGGGAGGGGGTCGGAGGTAGTGGCGGCACCCCGTACAAGCATAGCTTAGCTAGGCGTGCATCCGCACTGGACCATGACAGCCAGGCCGGATTTTGCTCCGATCACGAAAAATGCAAGCTTTCCAGACGCTGACCCCGGAGGTAGAGCACCAATTCATTCCGCAATTCAATGAATTACTGTGCATTTACAGAACGGGACGTGAGAAGGCTTTCAGTTTGCTCCCTTTACAAGAGACTTTACTGAACGGGCCTATATCCCAGTATACCTTGTCTTTGTCAAGGAATTAGTTGGGTCCGTTTCTATACCCTAGTCATTTTCATGTAAATATGTGTTCATGATTGTTTATGCAAAGCTTGCACGGCTAACAAACTGCATTTGACCCTGCCCAACGGTCTTGGGAAGTCCCACAGTTGTGCCCGGACTGAAGTTGTGAGTGTGAAAATTTCCTAGACATCCAAAATGAGCACAAGATCCACAGGCTGACCGAAGCAAACTTGATGTTTCAGCACGGGCCCAGCTTCAGCAGAGTATTCTTTGCAAAGAAGGCTTTCTCAAGAGGTCCGCTGCCAGAGACTCTTGCTAAAACGGCTCCTAACACCTCAGCCGCGCCAACCAACACCCAGCACAGGGCAAATAGGCAGGGAGATTCGCTGGGAAATTATCTTGATTGCACTTAGGGCCCTTGGCGCTTTCACTGTAATTTGTGCACGCAAGAGCACCGTAACAGATTGCAATCATGAGCGTTCTTGAGATCCCCGAAATCCCATTTCCGACCTTTGTGCATCCTGGCAGGTATTTGAGGATCCTGCGACAGGACCTTATGATCGAGGGCCTTTGGAAGACGAGGATATAGCCTCTTAGAACCTAGAACATGTACAAGACTCTGATCCGGCCAATAAAGGGGCTCAGAGCCCGAAACCTTTGGGTCATGGCAACGAATCCCGGGATGATGAGGGACCCCGGGCAAGCAACTGTGCCTGCAGAACGATGCGCGTGGCAAAACCCTAGATTTTGTTAGCAGGGCATTAACACCCGTCACGCCAACTACGCTCGCAACAGCAACCACGCTTCAGCCACCAGGCCCGCTTCAACCACCACGCCATGGCCACTAAATTGCCACGGAAATCTTCACCAAAACAACCATCCCGCGACCCCTAAAAGGTCGACATGCAAAACGGCTTTCGTGGAGTAGCCTGGGTTCTGTGGGGTTGTGGGTGACCTGGGTTCTGGCCATGGTGACAGGGCCAGGCCGCGATGCCCGCCGCGCCTTCCATGTGGCTGCTCTGTCCCTCGTGTTGTTACGGCACACTCTTCGCAGCAACGGCTTGCGTTCGTCCCTTTTGCAGCTCAGATGGTGGCAATATAAGGCCTGAACTAAGGGCTTGACAATTCCCCGCCCTAATTTGGAGTTCAGATTCGCAACCCCCGCAGAAAACCCCATCCCCAACGACGGGAGCAACTCTCAGTGCCAAGTCTGCTGCCCTAACCGAGCACCGCGGAGGGAAGGGTGTTGACTGGATTGCGTGACTACGATCCTCATCATGATCAAGCGGAGCGCGGAGGATCGGGGAGGACAGCAGAGCGAAAGGAATGGAGCCCTTTTGAGCAAGCAGTGTTCTGACGGCAGCAAGATGGTACAAGTTGACAAGCAGGCTCGTCCATGTGGGTGGGTGGGGAGTAGGGGGGGGCGGAAGCAGGGAAGCAGAAATGCGGGTAAACTCTTATCAGGCGGTTCAAGAAGACAAACAACCAAGTGGCCTTCAGCATTTGCCTCCATGCTGGGAGAGGAAGGACGTTTTTGGACAGGAGCAGAGGGGTAGGGATTGAGGCATTCCGGAGGAAATGTCATGAGAAGGTCCAAGTAAAAGAAGTTGTTTCACAATCCACGAGACAAGGCATGGTGTCATTACGTGTTTGCCCAAGAGACACGCGACAATAGCAAGCTACGGAGGTGGTCCGACATGAAAACCACTATGCTGTGGCACGTGAAAGAGCTAACAGTGCGCTGCATGAAGCAGGCGTGGCTGAACGCGATACAGCTTACGCGTCATGGATTTGGTGCCTTGCTTGCACATAATGAAAGCTCCCGCTCATGGTTGGTATTGATGTGAGGATTTGTTTGTGCTTGCGGTCTCACTGCTTTCTAGGTAGCATTGCTTACCCCTTTCCTGTCGTTTGAGCCAAAGTTCACGTTTGGGCAGTGCATTGTATCCGGACGCAGACGAATTTCGCTTGGCATTGCACTCACCACCGACACCAGTATGCCATGTGTCGCGTTTGGCTTGCTTACCCTGCCTTGCTGCATGCTTGTTGGTGTGCCCCGCGCAGCAGGCAGAGATCAAATTCCGATATTCCGGGATCTGACAGACCTACTGCAGAGGCAGTGGCTTCCATGAGTTCGAGTTGCTTTGGCATTCAGTGATTTCCCTTGTCTCCAAAAAACTTATCGCAGCTTGAGATCGGCATTTGGTTGAGGAGAACCCTCCTGCATACAGCTAATCTGAATCTAGCTTTCGTTGCCCGTTGGCTTTGGAGAGGAGCTTACTCTTCAAGTAAATACTAGAGCACGTCGATGGATCAATCACTTTGGGGAGTCCAGGCTTACCTTTTTTGCATATTGTCTGTGTGGGTTGGGTGATGCGGAGGGAGAGGAAGGGAGGGAGGGAGAGAGAGAGAGAGGAAGCCAAAAAATCTTAGCTCCGTGTCGGGGATACACGTGCGCAGTTTCACAGCCTAGTTGAGCAGCACAGAGTGGTACTGACGTTGCCGAGCAAGGTTTTGCTATTTGGGGTCGGGGGGTCCGGGTGTAACTCGGCATCAACAGCACTGCTGGTATGTGGGACCTCCTAGGTAGACTCATGCGTGCGAGGGCATGGGGAGTACCCCAACCTGCCTGTAGAGGCAGGTAGAGCCCTAATTGAGAAGAAGAAGAAGAAGAAACCATTTTGGCTCGAGTCGTCTGCCTGCCTCTACGGAATGCTCGGTCGCGGCTGTTCGCGGTGGGGTCTGTTCCCCCCACCGTTGGCGGTGGACGCAGATCTGATTGGAGGCAGCTTGAGGCCACACGCCGTAGCTGTTTTCCAGAGAGACAAACCAAGTAGGGAGCCCCGCACTGTTGCGGAACCGCCCTGTTCCACAGCCGCGCCAATAGCACGGTTCACTACTACCAGTCCAAAACACTTACGCGTCTTCCCTGACAACGTTGGGAACATCTTTGAGAAGTAGATCGCTCCCCGACGTGGAAGTGTAACAGGAGGTATACACGGTCGCGGCCGTTCGCGGTGGGAGCTACACCCCTCCACCGCTGGCGGTGGACGCTGACCTGAGTAGAGCGTTTCTCTGACAAGCTGGAACACTGAGCAACGCCAGCACAGTTCACCCGCTCGGAGATCGGTACCCGAACAAACCCCGATCTAAGCAAAAAAGGGAAGGACATGGAAGGACGGTGATACCCTTGGCGGGGTGTCGTGCGCGGGCACGCCCTGAAGGCCTAACTTCCTAAACCTTTGTGAATGCAGCGGGGGCGGAAGGGGTGGCTGGAAGGGCTTGCGTAGCCGGCCCACCCCCGAAGGAACTCCTTGGAACCAGAAGTCAGAGTAGCGTGAAAGGAAAAGAAATGGAAACAAAGGTGCAAAAGAAGAAAAATGAACATTGTAGAAAGACAGCGACACATCGTAACAGAAACCCCGTGAAAAATGCGGAGCCTTGGATACAAAGTTGGCGGCTCTTGCGAGGGTGAAGGGAAGAGGCCATAGCCTGAGCCAGAGACGGCTTGATGCGCAGGTGAAAACCCGGGGGTATCCTAAACCCTGCGCCCCACAGAGGGCCGCACCCCCGAGCGCGCTCAGTTTCAACTTGCGAGCGGCCGTCAAATTCAAGCATGTTTTTGTCTGCCAGTTTTCTGCAGACACCTCATAGAGGGCTTGACGTGGAGCCGTGTTGTATTTGTAGGTACAGATGCAGGGGCCAGTGGATGATCTTTGGTATCGCCCTTGTCAGGAAAATTTGATTTAAATCAACCTGCCGGTACCTCCGCAATGCCCTGAGCTGATGTAACAACACGGATCAGGACATGTAGCATGCTTCTCAGAGGAGCCGGTGGATAAGTGTTACGTTAGTGGAATAAATATCTTGTTTTGCTTGGGGGTTTTGCTGTAAAGTACTGAAACCACTGATGGAACCTCTGCCAATATGATAAGTGCGGAACCTTAAAATGCAACTAGTACTTGATGGTTATTGCTGGTAGGTGGTTGTGTGATATGTGATTGCCGTGCAAAAACAGGTTTCACTGGTACTAGGCCCAAACATTGACGGACGGGGCGCTTAGGGGCCGCTGGGGGAAACCCAATCTTTCCCGTAAAGCAAAGGAAAGCAAAGAAGAAGAAGAAGAGACAGAGCTTTTGGAATTGTCTTCTTTGTGGCAGTTGTTTGCAAGTCAGAACCAGGACCCTATGACATATCCATTTCACGAAGGACAAATCTCAACCGGACAGTTGGGGGGCTAGCACGGGCAACACCTCCGTGCACAACGACGCCGGGATGTGGAGAACCATGCTTCAACACACTTGGACGACGACGGAAGCACAGAGAGTGGCCGTGGGCATGTGGAAGCCCTCCGTTCCATGGAGCCAATGGACACGAACTGGTCGAGGTGGAGTCCGGCCAGGACATTAACCACAACAACGGATCGATGGCGCCTTCAACCATGATGACCGTCGGAAAGCCCAATGCAGCAGCTGCAGATGAGACCGTCCGACCTGTGAGAAGCCGCCGCGAAGAGAACTGAGGGGACATTCACAAACCGAAGGTTGTGACACTAGCGTAATTGTGTGCTGTTTCTGCCGTTGCTCAAGTAAATTGCAAGCCCTGCCGTGACGAACGGGCCCTGCTTCGTTTCGGTGCTGAAGTGGTTAAAGTTTAGGGCGTGTAAGAGAGCCGATCAAACCAGATCAGCCGCATGGTGGAGCCAGTTCTTGTGAAGAAGCTGGGGGCAATCCAGGCTTTGGTTGTTGTTTCGGGGCAGCGGGAAACTTCTGCACCGCGGGAACCCATTTCATGATGAAAGAATTGCGGATGGAGCGCAGGGAGAGCGCGTGCCCCTGCAAGGCGGCAGCTCCCCCCTCAAACCTCAGCCCAGTCAAGCAAAGCACAGCAACGCGAAAAGAGAAAACATTTTGCAACATGCGGATGTGAGAGGAGGAGCCTGCCCAACAGGCAAGCACTGAAATCTGTCAAACATGGCCGGGGACACTTAAGGGGAGTATTGTACCTCGTTGCGGGGGTTTTCACAAAGGTCCCAATGTGATCGTACGTAATGGTTCTGATGGTACATTCTAGTTAGCTGATAAGATTCACAGCTCGTTAGACCAGGGGAAGCTGACTCAGAGTTATAGGCCCCTAGAGGCCTGAAGAGTCGGGGGCATTGTGAGTCTGCAGTGCTGTGGCTCTGCACTCATTCTGTCCCTAGGCGCAGCCTGATGAACATAAGAAAAAACACCAGAAGGAGAGAGAGAGGGAGTACTTAAAGAAAGTGGCGTGAAAGGAAGGCTGCTACCATGTCAAAGAGGCCGGCCGATCAGGAAGGAGGTTCCTCTGCAAAAAGCATGGTTCCAACGCCGCTACATCAAGCCATATCCATAGATGGTGCGCCGGGCGGGTGCTACAACAAGCGATAGCTAGCTACAAGTGTCGAAAACCCCGGCACCTATCAGGCGCGTCTGCAACTCCTCCGACGTAAACAACAATGGGATGGAGCCCAGATGAGCCATAAGGAGGAGGTCCTGGCGGCAGTCACGGGACGGCTTGGGGAGAAAAAGCTGCAAATGCATGCTAGTGTAATCTCCCGAATATACACTGAACTGGAGAGCCAAACACCGGGAACTACTGCAACTGCGAATAGCTCTTCGCTCCAACCGGCCGGAAGCAATAAACAAAGAGGATGGAGCAGTCAGCACGCAGACGGTGGAGTCATCCAAGGAGGGTGGGGACAACGACATTAGCGAGCAGGAGAAGGAAGCCCCGCGAGGTGGAAAGACACAAAGAAAAAAGAAAGAGAGACGCCGCAAAAAGGTGGCCAGGCTCACCCAGAAGTCCATTGCAGCGCTGGACAGGGCCATGCAGACACAAGGCAGAAGACATGATTACTGGGCAGGTACAGAGAACAGGGCAAAAGCGACGCTAGGAGCCAAGCAGTGCATAACATCTTCACCCAAAAAATGTGGTCGTGCATAATGGAGTGCAGACAGGGGGCAGGAGGCGAGTGGTTGTCACCTACGGCGACGTGACACGCCTACATTCCGTTGATGCAAGGCTGGAGCAATGAGCAATGGAGTGCAGGGGTGCAGGCTGTGCAGCAAGGCCGCACCAAACGTTGGAGAACACAGCCTCTGATCAAGTCCCGAAACAGCCATACCAGTGGGAAAGGGGGGAGCGCAGCCTCAACGGGGAAGAACATCTCAAGGAAGATGAAGACGACATGGGACAACCGGGCTGTGGAATTGCCACAAAGGTGGACAACGTGAGATGATCGGGCTTTCGCGTCATTGACGGTGAGGGGCCATGGAGATCGCCTAACCTGGAGGAGCAACAGCTACTGATGCAGTCGGCGGAACAGCGGGCCCACCTGGAGGCGATGATAGCGATCGAGAATGAGATAGACCCGGAGGAAGCATATGCGGAACATCAGCCAGCTCTCATGCAGTTGCTCGTGGGGATGCAACGCGAAGCAGAAGGACATGCGCGGGGCTCCGTGAACGCGTGAGTGTTACTGCGGAGCCGAGCATCAGTTGAGCTCGCACCACGACGAGTACTGGGAAACCTTGTCTGCATGGTGGGGTGCCAGTCCTGCAGCTGCTGAAGAATGGGTGCGTCTCCGTACTCGCTTTAGTTGTTGAGCATGTGTTAAGGAGGTGGAGACGTTGCATCAGTAGCGAAGCCCCAGATCAGTAGTGGTTGAGAGGATTTGGGATTTGTTTTTTGCATACTTTCGTCCCAGGAGCGTGAGCCCATCATGTACCATGACCGTAGACCTGCTGGATCCTGCTAGTGAAGTTTGTGTTTTCTTCTGGGAGAAGGAGCCAACCGCTGAAGCGATTGGTTACGAGAGATGCCCCCGAGAGACATGGTCCGTTAGTCAATTGCTGTTGTGCCCCCTTTGCATCATAGCCGTATCTCAATACGTTGACCTGTGCATTAGAACCCAACAACTGGCCGTGGAAGGCAAGACATGAGGAAAATACGACCCCTCGAAACAAGAAAAAGCTGGCGAAGCCTTGTTCTGTCCGCGGGAGGGCAGGCCCAAACTTCTGAGGCAGCGCACGCAGTTTTTCAATCGTTAGCCCAGGGCCAATGCATGCCAATGCAAAACAGGTCGTGAGTGTATCAGAAAACCACCTATATTGATCTAGCGGGTTCTATTTTCGTGTTGCCATGGGGGTGCTTTGCTGTGGTGATGGTACACCAGCACGTTTGCGTTCAAGGGCCGTATTTTTGCCTTGGAGAGTCACTGTCCCTTTACTGCCAGACAATGCAATTGGGGGCGGCCTTCCTCCACAGAGGTGCCTCTCGGGGAGCTTTCGGTGCCTCCTTAGCCTTAGTTGTTGATTGGTATTGGTTTTCGGTGTTTGATGCCGTGATGTGTGGTGTTAGTGAGAGACGCCCCTGGATGAGATCACGGCCACTGGAACAAGGATGCTCATCTAGTCGTTGGCGTTGGCGTGTGATTCTGCTTGGGGCGTTGCCTAGCCCCTCCCCTGTGGAGGTGTAGAGCAGTGAGAAGAAAGAGAGAGAGAGAGAGAGAGAGAGAGAGATCGTATAATCCTGTCGCCATGACCTGTGCTGAGTGGTGTTGTTTCCACAACCCCAGTTGAGTAGGATGGAAGCCTGTACACGTGAGCCCCGAGGCCTTTCAGTCTAGTGCAATCCTTCCAGACGATCCCAGAGTTCCGAAGCTGTGACATCAGCCCTCCTGTGTGGGACTTACTGCGCCACGCCGCCTCGGGGGCAATGCCCCGGGGGTCAGCCATCCGGCTCCTCTACAGCCCTGGCAGACAGAGAGCGAGAGAGAGCGTAGCCATTTTGGCTAATGGGGAGGAGCGTCAGACACCGGCCCCCAACCTCTCTGGGTTGTGACCCTGGAGGGGCGGGCGGTGGACGTGTGCGCTGACGGGGAGGGGGCTTGAGCAGCACAAGTGGTTTTGCCAGGGCTTTCGGATGGCGTCTCAACTCTGCGCGCTCTCTTTAGTGGAGCCATAGTCGACAAGGGCAAGTCTGATTCACTACGCGAGAACCTTGACAACCTTGCCTTCACCCTTGCGTACCAGTTTGCTCCCCAAGGGTGTCAGGTGCTGCACGACTGCCCATTAACCCGGTCCTTACATCCACCTTCTGCATCTTTCTCTGGGACCCCTACGCTGGGAGACAACCTTCCACTACTACCAGTTTGTGAGTTTGGCAATTCCACCATGGAGGCAAACTACTCTGGTGGACGCAGGCAGCCCCAGCGCAAAGAGGCCGTGGCCTTCGTCACATAACCAAGGAGGCAGCTGAGGCAAAAGACATTGTGAGCGAGGCAATTTGCAACATGAGTGGGATCGACCATAATTAGGTGCTTCCAGGCAGCCATTCCGAGAGATTTTGAACCATCCTTTTGGGATGGGCTGCAACTACACTGTAGACACCATACGGCTGCCATACGACTACCAACCTCGCAGTCCGAGAATACCTGACATGGCTCCGCCAAAAGTAAGTGAATTCACAGCATAATTCGCGAGTAGTCAACCCACTACATGCGCCACGTGATGGTAGGTTACTATGGAAGTGAACCCACTATCAATCTTGCTGTTTCGCTCATAACAATGGCCAATTTTTCCCTTGGCTTCCAATACGGGAGTAGGCAAGTTCCGACGGTGGACAAAGCCACACTCCATACAAGCAACAGCCTTCTATAAACGATTCCTCCTTCCTCCTTCCTTTCTCCCAGAACGACACTTGCCTCAACTTGTATGGAGGTGTAAAGCACCCACTCTGAAACAACGAGGGGTCGTTTAACCTGTCTGCCCAACACGGGCTGGGCATTGACGCCCGGAGGTGGGAACAATCCCGCCTCCATAGCCTGAACGAAAGAAAGAAAGCGAAGAAAGGTTGACTTGGTTGCCGTTGGCAGACAACTAGATCAAGAGGTGAAAGGGGCCAACACCTCTCACTCAGTTCCTCTTGGCTTGAACCCTCTGCCATCCGAGCATTGAACTCCCGATTCCGACAGCGCTTTGCGAAGCTGATTCTCACCCTTTTCCATTCCCGCCGGCATGTACTAACATTCCCGACGAACCAAAACGGCCTTTGCGCACTCGTTTGTCTTGTCCTTTGTTGTTTCTCGTCGCCATGTTGTGTTCCTTGACCAAATTGCTCTTACCGGCCTTGCCCTGTTGTCACCCTTCCCGGCTTTCCCTTTGCTTCCATATCCTTTTCCTTGCAATGTACTAACTACACCTGATGTCTTGGGAAAAGCTTCTTCAACATGCAGCTCATCATCAAAGATCGGATCCTTTCCTTCGCTTTGTGGGGCACTGTGCATAGTACCTTCCGCATCCATTTCGGGTCGGAATTCAGGATCGGACAGTTGTAGATGCGGATGGTATACAAATCCAGATCGTTGCCTTTCAAAATCGTTCCTTGCAAGCATGAGAGAATGGACCAGCGAAGAAATCAAGTCGCATGCAGGGAATTTGTCACTGAAATGATGGGCGCCAGGATCACAAGCCAATACTTCAGTAGCGGCGTAGGATTCAATTGAGAAGAAGGCAGGTGGATATCAACCTGTAGGCACATGGCTTGTCATTGCGACGGCTTCGAGAGCGTGAGGACTTCGAGTGCGGTTTTGGTATTTTTGAACACATAACGTTTTTGAAGGTCCATTTTAGCACAAAGTATTCATCTCCACAGATGATGCTGGTGGGAAAAGTTGCCTGATTGATTTTCTAGATTCAGTTTCCCCCAAAATCCCGTGTGCGCCCCCAAACTCTGAAGAAAAGCAGATCAACGGTTTATGAGAAACTCCAGTTCCAATGCGTTTGGCACTCTTTGAAATGCTGGAATCAATGCCTCAGATTCTGGCTGCAAGAAGCCGGTATCTAACAGTCTCTAACAACAGATTCTTGTCTCCTTCCAGTGAGGCCTGAAAGAACACCGTATAAGCTTTAAGCGAGCAGTGCTTGTGTAGTAAGGGAAAGGGTATACGTGACTTCAGAATCCTACCAGGACCTCACTTGGATCGGTTTCGAGATGTCTTCACATTTTTTGCGGCTCACACTGGGATCTCCGCACAGAAAGCCTGTGCGCAAGCCACGGTTGTCCCCACATCACTTGCTGCCCCTGGGGGAGGGCGGGTGGCCGTCTTGCCGTCGCGTGAAAGTCTTCAAGTCGGCAGTGAGACGGTGCAACAAGTCGTCGTTGCTTGCCCAGCAGACATGTGATAGCAGGCATCAAGGCAGCCCAGGAAATCTGGGGATGAATCAAATGCCTGCACGTCTTGTTACTTGATTTTGGACGCAGTCCGGGATTGTCATGCTCAAAGAGCTTTTCCCTTCGCATTGGCTCTCAGAAGCTGCGCTAGCCAGACGTCACTTGAGTTTGCTTCCAGGAATGAACTCGGTTGGCGCAAGTGGTTTGACGAGAGCGAGCCGGACATGCCTTGGGCTGATGCGAAACATACATCAGACAGCCGAAGACGCACAACGTCTATCATGATTTGCCCGTTCACCATGCCGCATTTGTTTCTGTTTCTGGTCGAACTCCCAAGCTTGCGCCGCTACCCGCTAACCTTTGCAGGAGAACTCTCCAGTGCCTGAGTATGAAGACAGACGCCTAGCCGCAAGATGTACCACAACACTTGTTTGCAGCAATCCACAATGGCAAGTGAGGCAAAAAGCTAGGAGAACAAACCCGGCCACAAAGGTGTTGTAAGCTTTGTCTCATGGTCTTCAAAGAGGATGAGCTGACCAGTAGCAGTCACTGAAGCGCCACTAGCGAATCAAAGCAAGGTTAAGATAGGCGCAACGTGTGTCCCAGTCGAGTTCCGCCTCTCACCATTCAGGAATCGTGATGGAAAGGACGATAGGCCAAAGCCTAGGTGGTTGCAAGCAATCCTTCCATGCAATTCAGAAGTTGTACATTCACAAGGCCCATTCATACGTCTCGCGCTGGTGCGCGCTTTGAGGGAGGACAGCCTGAAGGGTGTCCTGCACATTGTCAACAAGTTGCGATTTGTCAGTCTGCTTGCGGTAGGATCGAGTTGGGATTGCCAGCGCTCGCAGCTTAAATCAATCGGCTACTGATGACGGTAAGATGCAAGATGTGATGCAAGCTTCCACCATGACAGCAAGAGCTGACCCGGTGCGAGGCGCAGTTTGTTGACAAGCAGCTTGGACCCAAATACACGGCACCAGTCAGTGACACGATCACTGACATCTACGAGGCGCGGTGGTTGGCAAATTATGAAGGCAAGCTGGTCCTATGAGAAAAGTTCATACAGTAGTTTGTTGAATGGAGTTCATTTCTCTTTGCCAAACTTTTCTGACGTACATGCACATCAAGCAGACATGTGAATACAAGCATGCGAATCAGAATTCATCAAGACCTTCTAGTAACCACCCACGGAGACGGCCAACATTTGCGCAGGAATGCAGCGCACGCAAACCCGTCCTGTACTTACTCTCAGCCAGCATCTTAGATGTCGCAGCCCTGCGTTGGCGCAGCCCTTTTTGGGGAGTAAGTTACGCCTGAATGGCTGGCAAGACCCATAGCTGAGGCCGGAACAGATCCAACAAACATGATCGACGAGCTGGCCTTTCGGATTGAAGACTGTTGCTTATCGTTGCTTGCTGGGTGAGGGATGGGCTGAAAGCAGCGTGAAGCTGCGAAGCGTGAACATATGGTTGACAGGCCAAGCGGAAAAAGAAGTTCCCCACTGACAAGGCCCGGTCAGGTGAACTAAACGGTGAGTATACCAAAGCAACTTTGGCTCCTGCATCTGTTGCCATGTCCTTGTCTATGCCATGCCCATGGGTAGGTATTGACCTGGAACTCAATTTGGGTTTGTGCCAGGTGTGACTGATGCTGCGCTCAGGACTTGAAGCAACAACAAAACCTCCCAGAAACGCTGATTCGAATGAGGCCTCAACCAGTGATTTTGTCTCATGCAACGCAGAACCAAATTAAAACATGGAGCCTGAAATTGATGCTGCCAGACCATGGGAGTTTTTGACTTTTTGGATGGGAGCCCTTTCTACCTTGATCTAGTACGGCATAGTACGGCCATCGTCTACATGTTTGGAGCAGAAAAAGCACTGATTGCGTACCACTACACCTGCACCCAACTTGAACCACGTCAAAAAAGATGCCAACATCCAATCAGGGTATTCTCTGCCTCAGGGCCTCGGGTATGGATCCAGCGCATGCTTTACCCTGAGCATGCTCTAACCTGGTTATGATCTGTTCTGAGTATCCCTTACCCTGAGCATGACTCACTCTGGCCCTGCTCTACGCTGAGTATATTCAAACCCTGGGTGTGCGCTACCCTGTGCATGTGCTCCCATGCCCCGAGTATGCTCTCTTCATGAACAACACACACAAACCAAAGGAACAGGCACAAGAGATCACAAGAACCCAGGTTCAGAAGTCATACTTCAGTCCCCATATGTGTGGAAGCATATGGAAGCCCTCATTGCAAAAAGGCGTGACGCTACCCTGCTTGCTAGCCTATCAACCTGGCTTGTCAATTATGTGCATGATTCAGTCCGGAACCGATGCAGGAAGTGCCACTTGAGGAAGCCCAAGCTTTTTCTGGCAGCTATGCAAATCATAGCGAATTGCACCAGACCGGTATGTCCGGAGGCGGTTTCCACCGCAAGATTAGAAGATGGATAGCGCAGGTTCCGAGCACGAAAGTTTCAGTCATACCGGCCCCCCAGCCTGCAGACTTCCTGCTTGCCGGAGGCTAGAATAAGAGAGTGTGCTTCAATATGTGATATGTGGATGTGTCAGTTCTTCCAGTCACAGCAATGGGAAAGCATTGAAAACTAGGAAACCCAAGAAATAAGGCTTGAACTCAGCCTCAATCTAGCTACGGGCAGCCTGCTCTGCTCTGGAAGAGACACGCTTCGCGCACGCTGCTGGGCAGAGTGCATTCGCATGCCATGCATGCTAGCCTAGTGGTGCATCAAAGTAATTTCCCATGGGGCATTGGCTTGTCCCATCCAACCCTTGTGCAGGTGTCCATGGGTGAAGGACAGGAGAAGGTTGCACGAGAGAAGAACGGCGCTGCATTTCTAACCGGCGGTTGGGTTATTTTGCAGAACTGCCATTTGGGCACAGATTACATGAACGAAGTGGAAGAGGTCCTCACAAAGACGCCAGAAATTCACGCCAACTACAGGCTTTGGATAACCTGCGAGATAACTTCCCGCTTCCCGATTGGCCTGCTTCAGATGTGCATTAAAGTGACCCTTGAGCCACCAGCTGGACTGAAAGCTTCTCTGCATAGGACCTACACGACCATGGTCACGCAGGAGACGCTCGACAAGGTAGACCATGAGAAGTGGCGAACGCTTCTCTTCACAGTTGCTGTCTTGCACAGTGTCGTGCAAGAGCGTCGCAAATTTGGAGCAATCGGCTGGTGTGTTCCCTACGAGTTTAACAACTCAGACTTGGATGCATCCCTGCTTTTCTTGGAGAAGCATTTATCCTCCACTATCCTGGTGGGCCTTCCATTGACGTGGAACACCATCCAGTACATGATTGCGGAGGTGCAGTATGGTGGCCGGATTACCGATGACTTGGATAGGGATCTCATCAACACATATGCCGCTAAGTGGCTTTGCGACGAGATTTTCAAGCCATCTTTCAGCTTCAACAATTATCACGCTGAGTTCAGCTATCAAATCCCAGATGCGATGGACATCGGCGTGTACAGAGACTACATTGAAACCATACCGCCAGTGGACTCACCGCTGATTTTTGGCCTACACCCGAACGCAGACATTACATACCGTATCAAGGAAGCCGCGGAAATGCTGACAACAATCATCGAAACACAGCCCAAGGAAAGTAGCGCAAGTGTTGGGAAGTCAGTTGATGAGCAGGTGAAAGAATCAGCCAGTGATCTGATTGCAAAGCTACCCTTGGATTTGGTGGAAGAGGTCTTCCGCGCGCAAATTCAGAAAATGAAAGGTCCTCCACGAATCGAGGACCGAGGCTTCGGGGCACCTTTGAACATTTTCTTATTTCAGGAGCTGCAGCGGCTACAGAACATCATAAGCATTGTTCGCAGCAATTTAGACAACCTCGTTATGGCGATCGATGGCACTGTTGTGATGACACTGGACCTGCTGGAGGACTTGAACTGCATTTTCGACTCTTGCCAACCATTTTAAAGGGCATTTTAGAGACATCGCTTTACAAGCTGCTACAACAACGATTTGCCCCCACTCACCCTGAGATTGCGTAAGGGGCTTTGTCAAATTCTCGGTGAGATAAGCCGTTGGCCTGAAAGCAACATTTGGAGCTGCTTAGTCTCAAGCTTGCGTCACTCAGATTTCCTTTCAGTCTGTTCCAAAGCCACGATCTTCAGCTTACAGCTTCATTCTGGGAAAAGAAGCGACACGTGCCCGGCTTGCAAGGAAGTAATCTTCAAAATGCTAAAAGTTTTTACATGCGCTGCCGGCTTTCTGCGGCCTTGCAGCAGCTTTGCACTAGATGGGCGCCGAATACATCCCCAACTTAGTCGGAGGTTTGAGCCTTGGATTCGGCGGTGAGATTGAGAGGCAAGTGCGTGCCGCGCCCATATTAATGAAGACTTGCACTAGTGCCCTCACCAGCACAGTTCCTCATATTTACCCCTAATATCCCCCAATCATGCAGTTGGTGCACGGATGAGCTTCAGCGATAACCCGATGTTCTCAAGAGCTTGCTTCTGTTTTTCATGCATGGAAATGCTCAAATAGTTGGCTTTGCGCCGTGAACGCTGATGTTTTCTGTGAAAGGCAGCCCTGCTCAGACAAAGCCGTATGCATAATCCAGCTGTTGAGAGGCCTCTAGCTGGGGAAGTGTTGGTTGAATCGTTTTGGCTCCGTGGGGTGCGGACACTGCGGCGAGAATCGCGGAAACCTGCCAGGTCAAGACGAAAGAGCTTTCACATTGTCCCATCAAGAGTCCATCGTACAGAGCATGGAAGGAAGAAGGGTCCAACATCTTTGGTCGCCACTTTTCGGCCTGATGACAACTGCAGAAATTGGTGGTCCAGCATCCAATGTGCTTGCAGAGGGGCCACCCTCATTAGCAATATTTGCAACTATCGCTTGTCCGTTCTTGTCCCTTAGAAGCGATACACAGTCTACTGGGCTTGGTAATGTTGAACCCTGTTTAGTATACGCGCCCTCCCCCCCGAACAATTGACTATTCTCTTTAAAAAGGTGCAACCCCCCAAATTTCCCACGAACTGATACAAATCTAATTTCGCGCAATTAGAATCTAATTTAACCAATTGAAACCCATTGAAATTCTAATGAAAACCACTTTCAAACTTAAGTACCCTCTATTCAAAATCAATGAAAATCCGCCTCGAAATTATTGAAATTCAATTCTAACTCAGCTGAAATCGAATTACAACTTAAGTAAAACTTAATCTGATTCAATCGGAAACCTACTTTTGAGATCGATCGCCCTAAACTCTAATTACATATTCTATTCAAAAACAAGTGGAATCCGATTCGAATCAATTGACATCTAATTCAAATCGAATTCAAACCAATTGAAATTTAATTAGAGCGCATTTAAAATCAATTCAAAATAGCTTTCTCGGTGAAAATTTAGGGTGCTGGAAAAGTGCATCATTATTCCGACTCCCCAAGACAGATGCTAAAAGAGGACCCAGGCCTTTGCTGGACTACCCCCTCACGAAAATTGACGGCTCGTGTGTTTTCGTATAATCCCGAAAAAACTAATCATATGGAGCTGGGGTCTCCGAGTTTACGGAGCCCAAGCAAACCTTCCTTAGGTAACAAGTTTTGCCATTTTTGTATTTTGGCGCCCAAAAAAATAATTGTTCCGACCCCCTCAAGCACTGGCAGATTTTGAATAAGTTTCCCGGATTTTTTAAAAGATTCCCACACCCTCTACAAAACCGGGTCCAACATTAGGATGTAGCATGGGATCCTAAACGGCGGCAACGTTTGCTTCAGGGCTTGGGGACATGAAGCACTCCTGCCAGACTGGTCGCTGGCATAGGTTCCACTTGACCAGTTGGGCAGGGTTAGGAAAGTTGTCCCAGGGATCTCGTAGCAGAGAAGGCGCCGTCCTTCCTATCACATCTTGTAGGATTGTAGGGGATTTCACGGTGGCGTTGCTTCGGGCTCGTGGAGACCATGAAACCTAGGACCTACTTGTTCACAGGGCAGATGGGTGACAGGAGCGCTTGTCGAGAGGCTCCTTTGGGCAGGGGTCTGAATTGAGCAGAGCTTGGTGTGGGCTTCTTGAAGCCTACGGTAAGATTTGATGGTCATCACCCCGCCAACTCCATGAGGAGACCTACTCAGTGGGTCTGAATTGAGGTTGGCGGCCAGACCCTTGTCCAGCTTGCTAGGGTACATAACCGCTTTAAGTTTCTAGAGCAGCTGCTGTCCACTTTGCAAGGAGTACATCAAGAGTTGCTATTGGATTCCTTCACTCATCCAAGCTGGGATGCAGGAAGCCATACGTTGCGCTTCGATTTCACTGAAACACATGTTTTGTGCTGCCTTTAGCCGCGGTCAGACCAGATAGGTCTGCTTGACAATAATGCATTTAGGATGATGACCCTGCCCATGCACAAAGAATGAGCAAGGTTTCGGACCATCAGTTTCCAGTCCCAACATCTAGCACAGCACCCCGAAATACTTCTTCCCTGCCTGCAGAAACCGACTATCCAGCAGTGGCCTGCCCTTGCCAAGGACAGCAGAGTGCCGCGCGGATGGACGCATGATGCCTCAGGAGCGGAAATCTCCTGGCTTCAACCAACACTCGGCTCTTGGGCAACGGGCCTGACCGACAGGCACAAGCGACACACCACACGCATAGTTCTAGTATTTCCAGCTACAGCGAGCAGCTGGTGGGACCGGTAGACCCAAATGCGACTGACTGCTTGCAAGCTGCAGGTACAGTCAGCTGAATACCTGGCTGGAATTTGGACGCAAGGATCTGCAGCATTTTTTCGATGTAGGAGTTAGCCAGGCTTCAGAGGTGGGATAAGGTGCTCCAATGTTGAGTTAGAAGTTGCACGCAGGAGCAGCAGTGGTAGTCATATTGGCAGTGGTGGGGCGGTGGCGGTGGCGGTGGTGGGGCTGGGGGTGGGGCTGCTGGAGCTTCTGCTGCCACTGGTGGTGCTGGTGGTGCTGCTGCTACTGCTGCTGCTGCTGCTGCTGCTGCTGCTGCTGCTCGTGCTCGTGCTGCTGCGGCTGCTGCTGCTGTTGCTGCGGCTGGCGGCAGCGGCGGCGGTGGTGGGGGTGGCGGTGGTGGTGCCTGGTCTGGGGGATTGGGGGGGAGGTAGAGGTAGCGTAGTAGTTGTGGAATGTTGTCGCAGGTGTACAGTGGTAGTAAGCGGGTAGGAACCGGTGAGAATCCGTCGAGTATTCAAGGTGGAGGTAGAGTGATAGCATTAGGGCTGCATATTTGGGCATCGCTCGAAAACCCCATGTGGAAGAAGTATATATAAAACGACCACAGCTGGCTTAGACCTTCCGCGAAAGGTCGCGATGATGCTCCCGAAAGGAACTTTGGATTTCGCGAAAGAAGTGTCGTAAGCTAAAGTTCTTTTACTTACTTTCAAGAACATTTTTCTTCTTGCAGTTCGCCGGCATGCTTCCAGGCATGCTCAAAGGTGAAAGGGTTGCAAGTCTTTCTGAGGCACAGGCTCGGTCCTCAGAATTTTCACCTCAAAATCCGCGAAAGGTCGCGTAGGCCGA